ATGTAGCATTCTACTAATACAAACTAATACCTTAAAACTAACCATATCAACTAAGTTTTTAACGCATGTGTTTATTTGCGAATTCCACACCACGACTTTTTTTAGTTTCACAGTCCGCACTCATTAATATTCATAAAATTTATCTCAGTATAATACCAATGTTATTTTTATATTAAGGAAAAGTCAAAGTTCATTGCCATATTCTTGCACAATTTTGTGCAACATAAAATATGTAAGTTTATTATGATAATGAAGGAAGCCTTCAGACACGGTGGAATTAACGCCATTGCCTTTCTTTTAATCATTCGTCAGTTTTTATATATCAAGCATTACTTTTAATACTTGTAGAGAATGGCAAACTTATTTGAATATAGAAACATAAAAAGTTTCTTTTTCAATTATCAAGTTGGCACCAATGAAATTGTGAATTGCAAAAGTGTAGATTTATCTTATGCTCGACAAAAATATTTCGGAAGCATGTAAAGTTCGCTACCACGCTTTGGGACAGAGCGGCTGATAATTACTTCACCTAAAATTTCAGAAACGAAAGTAAGGTTGTGCCCAGCTGTGGGACGTATATTAGCTGTGACTTCACTTTAGCTAGCAGCGTTCAGGAGGGTAATACGATTATCCGGTTCATACGATCACTTTATTATAACTCAAAAACCACAATTTTGTGTGCATAGATGGATCTGTGATAGCTCTTCATTAGTCAATGGCTCTATCGACACCATTTTGGCAATTGACAGTACAATAAATATGGTCATTATTATTAATATTTTTTTTAAGTTGATTCATCGAAGTCTTCCTATTAGCTACTGCCAACGTTTGTTTGCTGTTTTCCTCTTAATATATTAATAATTATGTTAACTACTATGTATTCTGTGACTATACATACGATTTTGTGTTTTTGTGTACAGACACAGAGAGCAGCTCTTCCTAGTTTCGGTATTATAGGGCGGCAAAACTTAAGGTGACCATGTTACCCTCACGTACCTTATAATTGGAGTGAAGTAACAAACAATGTAAACTTACACGCAGGAAGTGCTGTTCTTGGCCAATAATGAAAACGTTAGTGATGCGACAACAGATGGTAATTTATTAGAAATACATATTCAATTATATTTATAATCTTTAACAAAAGTTGATGTTTCGAAAGGTTACCTAAATATATCATAAATAACTAACCTACACACTAAGCTTTATAATAACCTATTCTACACCTATGCAACAGATATATTAACTATCAGATGGATTTTTCTGTCAGATTACATTTATCAGATAACACCTGGATATTAAAGGATTTTGTGGTCTGATCTAGATAATGTATCATTATTGAATCCACGCGATGATATGGTGTGTGAATAAAGGCAAGGTTCAAAACTTTCAAGTAATTTTTTTTTGTCTCCGCCGTGTACTTTTTATTACATTTTATTTACAAGTGTACGCTGAAAAGAAAATATTGTGATATTTTGACTTGAAATTTTATTATCACTACATAGTTACTCTCTAAAAATGGGATATTTTTTCTTTAAGCTTTTAATTTTATGTTAGTCTTCCTCCACACATATTTGGTAGACGATCTATTTTTCTAGAATAATTCTGAGGAGTATTATGAGATAAAATCATTTAGTCTTTATTGTTTATAAACAACTTTTTAACAAATTATTGTGTTTGTAATAATTTTACAAATAACCATTATGTAACTATTTAGAAGAACGCTTACTGAATATAATAAACAATCGATTCAATGTAACAATTACTTGAATGATCAAAGCCGTAGGCCACAAGCCATCTTTGTTTTCTGCAGAGGTTTTCAAACTTTTGCTTTAATTATGGAGGAACAGCATTTTTTCAAACTCAAATATTCTCACTTGCCATTTTGTGATTGTTATGGAGTTTTCTGTTAAGTAATAACCGTGAAGTTATATCGGAGAATTGGCAGACAGTTGTGTGACAGTGTGTAACATAGTATCAAGCGACATGAAGTTGTAAGGCTATACATATTCAAAGGTTGGAAAGCCATCCTTAAGACCAGACCATTTGCGAATCAAGTATCGCTATTGCTGATGACGGGAGCGACAGTGAAGGTCACTCTGGTGCTAAGTCAAAAGAAAAAAAATGCGCAAAAATGATAATATGATACAGGGGTTTTGTACCTACAACTACAAAGCAATGTAGCAACTGCTTATTGTCTTATTAACAGTTTATATATGCTGCACAATAAATTTATGATATATATTATATTTATTGTAAAACTGACTGTTACCAATAATAATGGAAAGTTGGTAGTGACAGTTTCCCAATAACCGACTGCAATTTTTAATGTATTCTATTTTGTATAATATGCTTAGAATAAGTGCACATTACATAAGTATGTACTTAGTTTTTACGGCAATATGGTGTCAAGGTTTGCCCACAGATTAAATTAATATACAAAATGCTTGATTTTAAGACACACGAAGATGAGCAATTTCTTCAATCATTATTAAAAATATTAAATGTGGTTGATTTAAATAGAAATGTGCAAGAAAAAAATTATATAATTGTGTATTATGAGAAAATCTAAATATGAGGAATGCTCTTAATGAGATTAATGTAAAATAGTGACTTTCTGTTTCCTTTACATTCTTACTTATTTCATTTTAAATGTTCAGTTTTCCTAAGAGATCCAAAGACTCCCTTACATGACAGGAACATTTTCTTAAAAAGGAGTATTGTGATGTGTTACGAGGTTTTTGTTTGAGCAAAACTATCTGTAATTATTAATATAAACGGGTAGTCAATATATTTGTCGCCACTTTACAATAAAGTGTTAAATTAGAGATGAATACTTCATTACTAGACAAAGGCTTTCTAAAATATGAATGCTATATACATATAGTATAGTATACTGTATGTATATAGCAATTCGGACAAGAGAATTACTATTTAAATAAAGTCATAAAAATGGTACACAAAGAACCCTGTTTTAACCAAGCTTAAGAAACAAGAATTTAAAAAAATTTACGATGCGTAGGTTTTCTTATGTATGTTCACAATTTTTCTCACAAACGGCTGAATTTAAATAATGATTCTTTGTATTGAATGGTTTATACTTTAGGAGTACATATATTTATATTATTATAACACAAATTTAAATTAAAAATAGGGGAAAATTTTAAAGTACCTATTTATTTCATTAAAGTTGTTTACCTCGATGATATTAGGATATTCCTTAGACCACTTAAAAGGGTAAAATAATGGAACGTTTAATAAAAACTAGAACCGACTAAAAATCCACATATCTAGCACCTTCTAAAATTAGGGCTTTGCTCATTATTTTTCGTTAACAGAACACTGACTTCAGAAGAAAAACTTCTATATGGAAATTACTTTATCTTTTTAGATTTCGAAGTCGGTATCATTTTTTTAGAGTAACTATAACTACTTATTTAATACACACGCTGCATAAAAATACCATTTTATGTAATACTGTCCCAGATGAAGTGTAATGATTTCTAGTGTACCTGTGCATGTATGTTCATTGTCAATTTTTGAGTGACAATTTTTGGTTATATTTTCAATACGAAGCTCGCGAAAAATCAACTACTTAATCGCGCATTCTATTAAACGTGTTATTGGATAAGTTAATAATATATCACGGCATTTGTTCCTTGTTTTTAAAAGTAATGCTTTTGTTTAGTCTACTACTGGATATAGATAATTCAAAGAATACCACAACTGGCAACTATTTTGCTCACCGCTCTGAGCACACAGGTTGGGAAGTGAAGGGTAGTGTCGCTCCCTATCACCTAATCTTTGAAGCTATACCTGTCAAGCGGCTTGTCTATGGTGATTTTAATTTTAATTTCATACTAGCCATCTAGAATTATGAACATTTAAATTCGAGATTACAAATTAAATTTATGTTGACTTGTCGATATGAAATATCGTAATCGTATAAATAGTAACATTATTCAGATACTTTAAACTCAACATACGGTTGTATAATGGTATTTTACATTATATTTTAAAATTGTGCGTGACTTTAACAAGCCTGATTAAGTAACCATATGTTTCGCATCGCACACGAACCATTGATTTTTTTTTTACACCTTACGACATGTACTAGAGGCAATGAGATCTTTTTGGCACTTCTTACGGGACGAAATAGGTTGATACTTGAATATAAATAGGTTGATAATTGCTATAACGATGCTCTTTGACTACCTCGTTGGTTTAGTGGTTGTAGTAGTGCGACTGCTGATCATGAGGTCCTGGGTTCGAAGACCGAGTCAGACCAAAATATCAGTTTGAGTTTTACCATTAAGAAATTCTCAGTGGCTGCCCAGAGTCAGAAAGTTGGCGGAGTCTCATCCCCGTACCTAGAGGAAGTAAGTTTTCCTTACGGGAAATAGAGAAGTGCACTTGTACTTGCGCATTACACTTGGGCACTATAATCCTGTCCTACGCCAATGGCTAGTCTTCATTGAGGCCTTCGTGACCGAAATTCGGTCTGGAGGACATTAACTATATAGTTTTCATGGTAATACTATTTGTAGAACAGAATAATTGTTATTCAATATATATTACAAGAATACTTAATGAAAGTCATTTAAGCTTTACCACAGGTTCAGAAGGAACCCTCGTCCTAGGCAAAACTTGCAAGTAAGCCAGCGGGACTTCGAAAAAAATTATAATCTACAGATAATATTTTTTATTATAATTAGCGAACTACTCATTTCCAGGGGTATAAGAAGGTCATTATCAATCATGTAATCTTTAGTAGAGCAATAACCCTCACTAAACAATTTTGCTTAATAAATTATTAAACCTTTTGATATAAGACTTACATTTTTTTTTATTGTAAAAGTGCATATATTGTCCCATGAAGAAATTAACAACTCTTTGGAATTAAGTAACTGGTATAACTGACTTATGCTTGCTCCTAGTATTTACAGAATGTACAACGCAATTTTTATGTATGTTTAGCGTAAGAGATAGTTGGCAGAACTCACCGTAGCAGTCTTTCATGTCTCTCTCTGTCGTAAGTCGCAGCGGCGAGGTAGTCGTCGGCGATCGCGTGATGCAGCGGCGCGTGCATCGGCGGCTGGTAGCGCTGCTTCCACAGCAGCTCGCCGGGGTAGAGCGTGGGCGGCGGCGGCGGCGGCAGGTGCAGCAGCGGCGGGGGCGGGCCGCCGCCGTAGCCGTGCGCCATCCCGCGCCACTCGCGCTCCTCCACCGAGCTGGCGGACCCGCCCGAGCGCACCCCACTCACGCCCGAGTCGGACCTCTCGTCCGCATCGCGCGCGCACACTATCACACAGTCGTCCTCCTCGGAGGCCACGGCGCTGACAACACCATCCGCGCCCGCACCGCCACTCACAACACTCACTTCACCCTCACTGATGTTCGCGCACACCGGTTCGCTCACTTCCTCCGGTTTCACGCACTTATCGCTCGGCTCACTGACGCTGGCAACATCACTCGCGCCCTCGGCACCTGGAACAACCAAAAATTTGACTTTAATTTCAATGCAAACAATGTTTAGAGATGAGGCGGCAGATACAGCTGAACTAAGTATGTGGCGAAAACATAACTCTCTGAGAGCTGACTACATATTTGTGCCATTTGCTGTAGAGACTATCAGTCAGATGGATCCACGTGCGGTGAAATTTAGTAAAGAACTGTATCCGCGATTTGTCGTCGCTGCTGGTGATAATCGGGTGGGTTTTTTTCTCGCTAAGTTTAGCGACGAAACGCAGTTCTTGGTATTACTCCGCGGGGAGTATGACTGTAAGATAATTTATGTGTTTAGTTTACTTTTATTATGGTACAAAATTTGTTCCATTCGAATGTTATGTCAGTTAATGATAGATTACACTATATCTAAAACACGGTAAGGTAGGCAATATCGACTCACACTACGCCCACTGCGATCGCAAAAATAAGTATTACCAACAATATAAAGGCCATTTACAAAAAATCAACAAGCAATTTAAATTCTCGAGCTCACAATGAAACGAACGATGTGATGCGTCTACATAACACGGTCCACGGCTATTTATTTCCCTGCTGACGTTATATTCAAGGAACAGTTTTATTAGGTTGAGTTGAAAATGTAAGCCATCAAAAAAACCTCTTATTGACTGTAATAAGGAGCAAGTTCGTAAGTAAACCTTGATTGACTGATAATTATTGCATCAGAGACTTTCACAGACGCAAAAACTAATGAATCGGCCTTGACGTCAAGCTGCGTGACCAGAATAAGTTATCGGAGTCACGTTTCGTTGTGCCACGTTTTATAAGTGTCGCGAACCGGAACAGGAAGATGACATCGTGTGGTGATATACACTGGCAGGTGGGTGGACTGTGCTGGCAGAGTTGCTAGAGCGTAGCGATCGTGAATGATGCCTGGGCGGGAGCCAAGACAAGTCCGCATTCGGATGTTTGGCGGAACACCAGAACGAGAGCAATGTGACAATAGCGTAGACAACATCCCGCAACGCGTTCGATATTCAATTTATATCCGATAATCTTTTTAGAAGTTCATAACGTACACATAATTTAAATTTATTGTGCACATAACATTTAGAGCTTAAATATTAGTTAGGTGAATAAATTTACGGTCTTTAATGAAAGGCAATAAAAATATTTTAAAATAAATTGTAAGTAATGGAAAATGTCACCTTTACCTTATTAGATTGTTTTACAATACGTTATAAAGTATTCATGACACAGTTTACAATAAAATAGTAAGTACCTCATACGAAATTCGAAACGATATCTTCAAGAAAGCGAGGTTGCGTGACTGGTGAGTAACAATGGAATTATAATGAGGTTCTATTAACGATATCATTTACATAAACGCATAAATAATTGTTTACAAAGAATACAAACAGAATAAAAGAAACTGTCTATTATAATGAATGCATTTGGTCATTAATCTAAAGAATTATCTACTTTTTTATTATAATAATTAAAACAATCCCAAAATAAATAATTAACCAGTAGAATACTGGCATAATCTTATCGCATTCAAGACAAATGAACTGACGTAATACAAATAACAGTTCTATTGTTAGAATCCAGATAATCGATTGCAAAATTACAATAGTAAGCAATAATAAAAACGATCAATGTTTCTCAAAACGTAAATATTCGATAACTAGAAATTCAACATTTGTTTTCAAGATAAAAAAACACAATGTAGAGAAAAGATAATACTGCACCTTTTATAAAAATAAAGAAACGACTATTGAGCGAATGTAAACAAAAGATGAAAGACAATGCGACATTGATCAACGGGATCGCACAATGGGGTAACAAATAACACGTAGGAAAGGCGACCGTGTCTAAAGTGTTGGCTGACTGACAAGACAAAACGTTGAGGCGGAACCAGCAAGAAGTTTTTATTAGATAGAAAGCAAAGGCAAAAAGTTGACGGAGTCCGAGCAATCGACGCCGTCTGTAAATCCTGACCAGCAATGAATTATTCATGAACGGTTCCAAGTAGGCGCAACTATAACGTAAGCGCACACAGCAACAAGTAGATTTTAGGTATTAGTAACACTATTTATTTTATACTAAGCTATAATATAAACTAAGAGTTGTCATTTCCCTCACACATTTAGTTTATTTAAGAACAGAAACAACAATATCTTTTCATAATAATTACCTAACATTTGTGAACAAACAAGCAGTTTTCAATAAATAATTTTCCATTCTCAATGTCGTATCAGCTCACATTATATACCTAGGTACCTATTCTTTACAACGGAATTCTTGATTATATATATATATATATATATATATATATATATATATATATATATATATATATATATATATATATATATATATTCAAGCAACTTCTAAATATTTAATGTGTTATCAGAAGTAGATAGCCAATTAGTAGAACAATCGACTTGCAATATTTTGATAGAATAGAATCATTTTTATTCGATATAGATTACATTTTTTACTTTTACCGCTGGTTTGGGAAAAAACCTTTGTCATTGGAAGAACCTGCAAGTGACTCAGCGTGGCTTTTATTTGAAAGCACAATTTACAATCTACTATTTTATACAATTGTTATGAAAACATTTAGAAACAACATGGTAGCGATCACCTCATTATCGTATCAATTGTATTTCAAAGAATTCTCTGAATAACATGATTACGTAATAAAAAGTAAAATATGCCTTCCTATATGTATAATGTATACTATGTGTATATTTGTTCGCACTCATGTAACTATTCCAAGTATCAATTGTAACAAATACATCATAGTGAATTCGGCGTAATTCAACGTATGTAATATATGTACAGTATAAACTTTAATATTAAAGCATGTTAGCGGAATCAACTAAAGCCATCTCGTTAAAACCACTAGAGCGTGATGACTCGACGGACCGTGTAATGAAGCACTTCCACTTGGACAATAACCGTTGTTACTTAATACGACATTTAGTAGTGGTAATGCTTTCTTTGTGAAACCATAAAGCAATTATCCCGATATTACTTTAAGTACGTAATGTTAACTTTCGTCTTTGAGTAGACTAGTGCATAAGAAATATAGTTTTGAAATTAAATAGTATTGAATGTTAACCGCAAACAAAACTTTAAAACAAATACATATAGGTAATGTAAACACGTTAACCGAGGGATGAAGGTGGCGTGGGAGTTAGGACTGTACTTTGTGTTATTCTATGGGGGCGGCCTCTATCCAGAATTGGACTAGTCGACGGCTATAGTGATAGTGTGTACTAGTGAATGCGAACGTCTTTTTATTTTAATATGGAAACAGAAGAAAAAACTGTTGTAAAGAATCGAGTAGGTACCTACTTTATTGATCATGTCTAGGGGATTTGTAAATTTATTCATTAATCAGCCACGACAGCCAAAAGCTACACCTCATAACACGTCATGACAATATAAAGCTGCAAAATACCTACAAAATAACAATGAAGTTTTATGATAATTATGGCATTGTTATTATGGTAGTGTAAAATTATTGATTTTATTGTAACTTTTTAATAGTTAGGTACTTCAATACCACCTTGAAGATATGGTGCGGTAAAGAGTTGCATTGTATCACGAATTCATGACGGGCATTTTGCACGCGAGAAAATTGCGCAATGCATGCAACCCTACTATTGATTAAGCTCCGGCACCGAGGCGGTCCGGTAATGGACAATCCTTTCGTATCTCATGGCATGTTCTGAACGTTCATGACTAGACTGGATTCCCCAAGAGTAACGTACAAATCGAACACTATGTTCTAAAATCCATTCCGTTCTTACTATATTACGTGGTCACGACTCACGACTTCCTCTTTCGAGCCCAGCACTGATCTCATCTAATACAAGATGGCGCTACAGTTGCCCCCGTGGCATGTAGACGTGTCTACTTAAATATATAATAAAATTGAAATTAGAATTTATAGTCCAAGCTCTACACTTGATATTTTTATATTATAAGTAACGTAAAATTACATCAAAATACAAATTTTCAGCTGGATTATTCTAATATTGAACAATGACTTATCGAGAAATATAAGAGCCGCAACGGGTCAAGCTTAACAATGGGAGGCAAGATAAGCGAGCCAAGCGTTTTACGTGAACAATGCAAGCTCGGAACACTCATATTATATTCCTAGATAACAGGCAATTAAAAGATCACCCGGGTACACAGGCCGTAAATGCCGTTGTGCTGGTATTTGTATGGCACCTAAAGTAGATTTTTTTTACATCGCTGCTTATTATAATTAACTGGAACTGAAATTAAAATGTTATACACTTACACTACACGAACACTTTTAGGCAAAAAGTCCACAATCCTTCCTACAAAGTCAAACCATCTTACGATAGGACATTAGCATAAACTGAACATGTATTTAAAGGAGCTACTTACTTTACAATGTGTACTGGATACCGCGAAAAGTAATTAGTTAAAATAATTTATTATCACAATTGTAATCACAATCAATTTTAACACAGTTATTAAAAATTATTCAGCGAACAAAATCACTGATTACAAAAGTCACTATCACAGATATCCGAGTAAAATGTGGTTAATCCTCTTCGAAAACTGTTGAAAATTGTAAAACAATCCCAGATTGTCCTTGAAAGCGGTCAGGAAATTGAAGCAGCCAAGCGTTCACCTGCACACACTCACACATACACACCACACCGCGCCAGTTGGCTATATTTAAAGTATATTGTAGGATTCACGACTATATGCTAAAATTATTCGTTGTGAACGTACATTCTGCTACACAAACGTATTAAAGCCTTGACGGCGCACAAAGAACTGAATCGCGGGGAAGTGTTTGCGGAGAAGGGGGTAGGGAGGTGCGGGGGGCGATCGGGCGCGCCAGTCTCGCGTCGGCAACGTAGCAGGCAACGTAGCAACAAGTGAACGTCGCGGATGAGCGGCAGCCGGGGGAGAGGGTTGCAAATGGGAGTCTCCCCCCGCATAAGAACGCACCTGACAGCGATGCACGTAGCACCCTTCTTCCATGTAGCGATCTATTAACTTATCCACTACAAAAACAGGAAGGGCAGATGTCAATAATCACGATGAAGTCCGACATTAAATACTCGCCACTTAGGTTCACCCGACCGGTCGTACTTATCAATTGATACGTAAAAAATGTAATTAGCCCTTACGTAAATAGGTTACTACATGCTTTTAATTACTTTTAGTCGCATGTTTGAAATTCTTACGATTTATTATTTAACTTTACTCATTTTGAATATAATATGTATTCATTTGAAACCAATATTCATAGAATAATAATATACAATAAGAGAAACTAAAAACTAAAGATGTCAAACAGTCTTATTCCCCATGTTATAGCACCAAGGACGCTGACTTCGTTTCCTTGTCCTGAATGGCAATAGCCTTTGGGTGAGACAAGAACCAGCCCTCTTAACACTAGCGACAGCGCAACCAGGCATGAGAGGATGCCAAAGGAGGAGGACGCACATAGTCTTTGGAATACTCCTAAGGGACTAAAGTCATGCCGTAAGTTCCGTCTCTCAATATTCCACAAGACCCTTAAACCGAGGGACATTTATAAACACAAGAGACCTTTGGATCGTTCAGAAAACCGTGACGAGACAACTTATAAGAACTTTTCTTAAATGAAAGTCCGAGGAGCCTAAACTTGCCATACTTGACATATCTACCACAAGGACACCAATGGAGGTTGAGAAATCGCCATTCCTAGACATATTCCATCAGATATGCGCGAGCTTTTTCCGATAAATAGTGTGCCTAGAATATTTGATTGTAAAGCAAGTGCCTCCTTAGTTGAAACAGATAAAAGGACGAGCCTGATCTCGGCCATCATTCGTAATAAGCAATAAATCTGTCTCCACATTCCGTACCAACGGAATATCCCTCTTGATTATTCCCTCTGGTTAGCTTCCAGTGCAACCCTCACATTGGAACAGAATTGAAACACTCTCACTGGAACATAACAGGTTGCAAAGTACAGGTCTCTGTTATTATTTAGAATTTTGTTACATAAATCTCTAACACTATGCACGGAAGCAAGCAAGGCGGGCAAGGCAGTTAATACTATAAAGATTTCTTATACCGATACCACAGATTAGATAGTAGTTACTGATACCTTCACACTTCAAATTTTAGTTCAATTAAGGCTGATGAATTAAAAAATAAATTAAGAATTTTTCTATAGTTATTTTAAGATTGATGACAATTTATTCATTTATTTATTTTATTCTTTATTGCATCCTTAAACAAAATAATACAAAGGGCGGACTTAATGCCTTGAGGCATTCTCTACCAGTCAACCCATGGAGTAGTGAGAATTTGACGTAGGTGTGGCAATATAGAATAAGAGAACACAATACAAATGATAATTAACTACATAATATATACACAAACTACTAATAAATAAACTATACATATATGATCTATCCTTACATATATACAAATATATAAATAAATGGATATACATACAAGTATACATATTTAAATACATACATAATTAGTATATACAAATGACTATGAATATATACGTCTGTTTGGCAATACATATTAAATAGATGGGTCATGTAAAATGCGTTGTCTTTAATAAATGATCACGGACCAACTTTTTAATGACAATGTATTTTAAAATATCCGAACATTTCTAGAAGAAACTCGAATGGAGTATACATGTAAATCTAGGTAAATACCAGAAGGCATTATTTAAAAAGAGCAATAAACATTGTAAGCAATAAATACCTACTTCTAATTATCTATATAAATGTTAAATAAGTTTAAACAGCCGTCTCTAGAAAAACCCAGCATGTGTCATTAATTACCTACCTGATATATATATATATATATTAGCGATATTTTTTTAAATTATATCGTTACATTTGTAATAAATACGATATGATTAGCTTAAAACTATCTACAATCTAACATAACGTGTTAAAAAAATCTATCTTATCAAATGCTACTTTTAACGCTAATATTAATTCCATATATTATTTAATTTCCATTGTGTTGCAACACCAAAGTGAATTTTCATAAAAATTAAATTATATAATTCTATAAATCAAATACAGGAGACGTATGATATTTTAACTATTATTCTAGAATATAAGTATAATAGGTACGTTAAAGTTGTTTATTTAATCCAATTAGAAAACGTTTACACTATGTGTGTGTGTGTGTGTGTAGCACAAATACGGTCTTTGTAGCAATTAGCTTATTACAATTACTAACGAGTTGTATACCCACACACGAAAAGAATGAAGCTAAAATATGCGTTTATAAATAGATTTTCTCTGGAATTAGTGCAACATAAACAAAAATTGATCGTTGACCAACATACCGAGAGAATTTAACGCATCGGCAATCATTTGGCAGCCTACCAAGCATTCGACGACAATCCTTTGCGATCTTAATTTAGTAGCACAAAGTATATGAAAACATTTGAATAACAAAAAGATGATAGACATATTTCTCATTTCGTCTGTCCCTTGAACCAAAACATCATCTGCATTATATTTAATATTTGTATTATAAATTACAGTAATACTTTTTAACGTTGTTTTTTTTTTGCAATTGAAGGCCTTCGAAGCAGAAACACGAATAAATTGACAGGCAAACAGGTTTGAGAAGTTTTTTTAACTTAAAACAAGCAAAGAGGTCGCATATCTGTATTGGCCTCGCGCTAATCGTGTTAGCGGTAACACGCGAATAACTAATACTCCGTAATTTGCAAGCATTCGTGCAATACGGCAAAAAAAACCCAACGTACTAGGTAACCCGTTTCGTATACACAAACCAAAGCAGTTTTCTGTGAGTCAAACTTCCTTAACGACTATTTAATTTCTTTCGTTCCAAATAACTATGAAAATTGTTTCGATAAGAAATTAAGATAAGAGTCTATCATAGTCATCGGGCATAATCACGTATGTGCACATAATCACATGGCGCAAAAAATTTACCTACACACTAATATAAAAATCAAACAATTTGTTATCGTATGTTGATAAGTTAGATAACCCACACAAATAAGAGGCGAGAATTCGTAGATAGGAAGTTTAAACATCAGTCGATAACCTGGTTGCAGTGGCTGATAAGAAGTCCACAACACTTGTTTAAACAAGGCTGTCTAAAAAGTGCTACTAGCTCCCCAAGCAAATCCTAGACAAGGTCGGGTTGGTGTCATACCTTTGACTGATTTTTAATTAACTCAATTAAATCAAAATTAAAAAATTAGCTGACATTGGGTGCGTTTGGCAGAAAAAAGCGCTAGCAAGCGCTTGTAAGCAAAATGGCGATCGTAAGCGGTAAGCGCTGCCAAATCTTAAGTATCTATTTTCCTA